GGTAGACGGGTAGAATATGGGTAGACGGGTAGAATATGGGTAGACGGGTAGAATATGGGTAGACGGGCAGAATATGGGTAGACGGGTAGAATATTGGTAGACGGGTAGAATATGGGTACACGGGAAGAATATGGGCAGACGGGTAAAATAAAGGTAGACGGGTAGAATATAGGTAGACGGGTAGTATATGGGTAGACGGGTAGAATATAGGTAGACGGGTAGAATATGGGTACACGGGTAGAATATGGGTAGACGGGCAGAATATGGGTAGACGGGTAGAATATGGGTAGACGGGTAGAATATGGGTAGACGGGTAGAATATGGGTAGACGGGTAGAGAACTCACCGGGCCGTAATTCAGATGAGGTTCGTCTTTTTCTACCATCTTCTGAAAAATGGATGAAAATATGTATTTAAAATGCATGATTATTAATAAACAATACAACAGTAAAAAGAAAATGGTATCTAATTCAGCAGTTTATCAGGTACAAACAAAATTCTATAATTATTATTACTATTTTTTTAATACTCCGGAAACCAGCTTTTGAAAAATCTGGCTTTCGTCAGGATGAATAAGTAATTTTTTCTTCCCTTAAATAACTACGAAATAGGTATTCATGATTAAGGAAAAAATTCTAAGAAAACTCAAATTTTCAACTAATATTTTAATTTTTAAATTATTAATTAAAAAGAAAAAATGTTGATTTTAACGATTTTAAAGCGAATATTTAATGGTGATGTCATCCAAACCTCAGCACATAATCCAATATCATACATTGACTTGTAAAAATTACCGTTGAACGACTTTACTATTTAAATCCATACAAGTTATTCAAACTTGTTATTTACATGAGAAGAAAAATAGTCTTCACATATTTTTTACGTGCCGAAATCGCGGAATTAACGATTCTATGGAATCGCTGCCAATTGCCGAATAATCATCTCCTCTATACCATAGGAATCTGGGGTTATACTATAGGAATCTGGGGTTATACTATAGGAATCTGGGGTTATACCATAGGAATCTGTTATACTATAGGATAGGAATCTGGGGTTATACTATAGGAATCTGGGGTTATACTATAGGAATCTGGGGTTATACTATAGGAATCAGGAGTTATACTATAGGAATCTGGGGTTATACTATAGGAATCTGGGGCTATACTATAGGAATCTGGTGCTATACTATAGGAATCTGGGGTTATACTATAGGAACCTGGAGTTATACTATAGGAATCTGGAGTTATACTATAGGAATCTGGAGTTATATTATAGGAATCTGGGGTTATACTATTGGAATCTGGGGTTATACTATAGGAATCTGGGGTTATACTATAGGAATCTGGGGTTATACTTTAGGAATCTAGGGTTATTCTATAGGAATCTGGAGTTTTATAGGAATCTGGGGTTATACTATAGGAATCTGGGGTTATACTATAGGATAGGAATCTGGGGTTATACTATAGGAATCTGGGGTTATACTATAGGAATCTGGAGTAATACTATAGGAATCTGGGGTTATACTATATGAATCTGGGGTTATACTATAGGAATCTGGAGTTATACTATCGGAATCTGGACTGTACTATAGGAATCTGGGGTTATACTATAGGAATCTGGAGTTATACTATAGTAATCTGGGGCTATGCTATACGAATATGGGGTTATACTATAGGAATCTGGGGTTATACTATATAGGAATCTGGGGTTTTACTATAGGAATCTGGAGTTATACTATAGGAATCTGGGGCTGTACTATAGGAATCTGGTGCTATACTGTAGGAATCTGGGGCTATACTATAGGAATATGGGGTTATACTATAGGAATCTGGAGTTATACTATAGGAATCTGGGGCTATACTATAGGAATCTGGGGTAATACTATTTAGGAATGTGGAGTTATACTATAGGAATCTGGGGCTATACTATAGGANACGTTCACTTAATCATAGACAAGAAAATAGAGCGTAAGTACTTACGTTCACTTAATCATAGACAAGAAAATAGAGCGTAAGTACTTACGTTCACTTAGCGAGTTTTGAAAGTATGGCCCCAGGAGTGTAAATCATACAAGTTATCAAAACATTGTAGATGGATCTAATTTTAATAATATGAAAAACACAATTAACAGGATATATCTGATGCTATACTGAATACGGTGTCTGATTACACTTATAGTGATTTCTCATTAATTCAGTATTTTTATCATTTTTTCCGCCCGATTAGTTATCAGACTTGATTATAATGTAAACTAAGAATCCCTAAAATTGGTGAAAAATTAGTGAATTTTCATTATTTTAATATCGGCAATTAATAAGCATGCCAATCATAGCAGAGATAATTGTTTCATGATATTATTTCGAACTTTATTGGGAACTATCATCGAATTGCTAAATTTTTTTTTTATTACCTTTTTTTTGTAGGTGAATTGAACTGCATTCGAAGAGAATGCTAACTATGGATCGTCTTTTTTATTTTTATTCTAACGTCTTTTTGCGTCAAAGACACACTCAAGGAGTTCATTAAATCTTTTTTTTTAATTCAAGCCTCCGTACAACATGTATAACCAGCATAATCCCATTAATCGTCATAATGAATGTAGTCTATATAATGCCAACAGAGCTTGTTCATACTCTATATTTTCCTACCATATTTTAGGTCATTTGATTTTTGCGAGATTTTATTGCAATTTATTTCCTCATAATCCTTTAAATAAAAGTAATGAAATGGAATACTTGAAATAAAAGCCAAGACGTGTACTAATTCGAGCCATGTAACATCATGAAAGCTTTTAATATTTGTTACATTCGACGTAAGGTTATTTATTCTGGCATAGACATGGCAAAAAATCAAAGGGAAGTGAAGCGGGCAGTTTATAACAGCGAAGTCCGTGTTACACTCACCTACGGGAAGGCAACATATATTGAAATTGAATATATATATATATATATTATAACATATTATTGAAAGCAACATATATATTGAACTCCGCTTTGGATCTACACTGACGTTGCACTGGCAGTGGGCCTCAGGTGTTGCCTTTTGGTGGCAAGAGAAAACGGCCAAATCCACTAAAAAGTCGGACCATGTCCATATTTTATAATAAATTTTAAATTCCCTTAGCAATCATCCATTTTTTGGCTTTCAGGCATTCAAAAATACAATAATTTTAGGGCCAATTGAGATTTTCTCAGCCAACGCCATTGAAAATTGACAAAAGTTGTCAATTTGGCCGTAAAAACACCCAGTCTAGCAACATTCCGGGGCCAGAGCGGTGGCAACAAAGCACGTGGCGTAACTAACACCGCAAACTCGGTGTGTACTAACGAATCTAAAGGTCTTATAGGCGACTTTGTAGGTAAAAAATTCATAAAAAGGTAATAATGAAGGTTAATTTTTGTATGGAATTTCACTTGATGAGGAGTGCACGACATGATATAAAGCCTTTAGTCCTTTGATTGCTAGTTATCCTTAATAGACGATACTTATTTACTTTTGTTGTCCGACCAGAGCGAGTTTGATCATCAACAGTGAGCAGGACAAGGACCATTTACATGAAGTCTAACTTATTGCTCTGAGTGTAGAGACAAATATATTAGAAAAGCCTAGAAATACAAACTATAGCCCCTTACAAAGAAAAATGCAACATATATACAGAATAAAATCATACCAATTGATGTTCGAATTTAGGAAGAGAAAAAAAGCTCATGAAAAAAGGGAAATTTTAGAATAAAAATATAACTCAGTACTCACTGCAGTGAGTGACAGAGAGCGCATTTTCTCGTCGACGAAAACATGATGTCACGGACGGACGGACGGACATGGCGAGCACAATAGTGCATTTTTCCATAAATGAGAAAATGCGCTAAAAAATTGGAAATATTTTATTGCGAATAATGCTAAATATTTAGACTTTGTGATAATCGTATCTTCAACTACAAAAAAACTCTTTAATCAGATTTGTTTAAATTTCAGTTGAATGACTTGCATATTATTTTCCGTATATGATGAATGTGAATGATGCAAAGTTTAACAAGTGCATACGGCGAGGGAGTCGTCAAGACGTGTATGATTTGGTAACATTAGATAAACGATAAAAAGACTCGTTTAGTTGAAAACTCTATAAACACTCACCAAGTACAGGCGTGAGGGCTTCTGCTCACTTCACTGTGAAGTATTTCAGCAGAAAAACTGATAGAAATCCAGAATTAATGAGAAACTGCAAGCAGGTTCAGAGCGATAGCACACTACACCTCCACTCTTCGACGTCCACGCGGACACTGAAGACTGAAGAGTGAAGCGCAACTGCGCAAGCGACTGCTCGCTGGCGGTCACCAACAGGCTTAGAATGTGGGCCTTTTTCTGGCCAAATCCGAATATTTGGGCCTTTCAACAACTGCATACATATGCCGGTAAATATCTATGGAGTCCTTAAACTTTTTACTTTTTTCAATGCAAGAAATGCCCGAAAATGGAATTTTTACATCAAAAATTACAAATTCACCAATGAGCATTCAATTTTAGCTAGTTTTAGCCTTTTTTGTTGGCAGATTTGGCCGTTTCATGTTGCCAGCATCTGGCAACCCTGCTGGTCACGCCGTTTGAACACAAGTGCATGGGTGATAGCGTGGGCTGCTGCGTGGGCCACCCCGGCGCCGGTTCTTCATATTTTTCCCCTCAATTCGTAGCCAATAATAATTATTATGAAATTGAATGCACAGTTTTTAATGCTCATTGCGCAAGGCTGCGATAATTTTTCACACTTTTACCTTACCCTGTTTTTAATTAAAACGGTATGAGGAACCAATTTAGCTGGTTCAGAACGCTTTATTTCCTAAATTCGTAACCAATAAAAATTAAATCAATATTTTCAGTTTTCAATTCCCTTTGCGCTCTGGCAACGATTTTTTCAAAATTTTGCCTCCTCTCGTTTTCAATTAAAATGGTAAACCGCGTGGAACCTTATCCAACCTAACTAATTGAAAACAAGATCAGGTGAAAATTTTAAAAATATCCTCGGCACATCACAATGAGCACTAAAAACTGTCTATTGACTTTCAACATTATTGGTTACGAATTTAATGAAGGGGTCGCACTGAACCGGATGGCCCACGCACATATGTCCGTACGGCGATATCTTTCATCATCCTTACCAGTTAAATGAAATTTTCTATCCTATCCCAGCGGCTAGAATTTCTTTCTTTAATTATATTATTTAGCAGTTAAGGCTGCAAAATTTATACACGTATTGTGAGAGAATCCAAGACGTACTTTACCAACAATTCTTCAGCCACCGGACTAAAATTTGACGAACAAGTTGATAAATGCGTTTCATTAGCATTTTGAGCTCGATTAATCGAAAAATATAGAATATTGCGTAACACTTTCATATGAAGTGTAGAATTTACGTATGATTCATAGTGAGAAAGCAGCGAACCGCTCAAACTTATGGTATTTTTACAATTATATTCAAAATAATTATTTGTGTGGCTAACTCAAATAAATTAACAACCTGTCGATACATCCAGATTATCACCGTAGTGTTGAAGATGCCATGTATATTAAATGAAAATACAAATTATTATTCGAGAAAAAAATATTATTTGCAGATGACATGATATTAATTGAAGCATAAATTGCATTCAGCTGAACTTAAATGGCGTCAATGGCAACGAAAGGAGCAGCGTCAGCCACACGGCTTCTTGGGCCGCGGCCCGGCGGCCAGGCTGCCAACATGAGGTAGCGAAAAATAATTCAATTTTCCTATATTCGGTGGGAAAAAGAGTGCAACTTTGCAATTTTTTTGTTGAGCAGTAAAACGCTAAGTTGAGCAGAGTTTAACGACACTACGGAAAGCATCCGAAATTTCAAAATTATTAGGTTTATGCTAACATGATAATTTTTTATGATGGAATCTGATTTCATCCATAGAAATTGCAAATAATAGGAACTTGCGTTTTATATAAAAATATAAATAAATAACTCAAGATAAAAAATTCTCTTGCGCATTGCGTGTGAGACGAACGCTGTGATGATGAGACACTTGAACGCTGTGATGATGAGACACTTGAACGCTGTGATGATGAGACACTTGAACGCTACATTCTTCATGACAATTTTCTCAGTTATATAAATCAAATATTTTTATAGATAACTAAACAAATTTAAAAGCGCTACCATCAAACCATAGGTATCCTAACCAAACTGTTGAACGCGTCATGAAAACTACATACCAATACGAATCAATATGGCAAATAAAAATATCACTAACTAACAAAAGAGAATTTTTCATCGCGCAGAATGCATTCATCTTTAAAAATATTTTTCCTTCCAAATTATTGGGACAATTTTCTTCCTTTCTGAAAGCGTAACTGATGTGGACGCGAATTTGAGCAATAACACATGTTTCTTGTAGCTATCATGGAACTAAACATTGAAAAATTTGAAATTCATACAGGTTTTGCTGGATGAAACACTTGAACGCTGATATTTTGAAACACGTGAACGCTGTCAAGTTGAGACACTTAGGCTCGCTGTTGGCGGCGGGCATAAGCAGGCAACCTGATGTAACTTGATGATACTAATGATGCTACTTGAGATAACTACAGCGAGAGTTAAAATTAGCATTTTCCTCAATTTTGGTAGAAATCACAGTTTATTGCCAATTTTGTGTTACTTACCTAATTAAAGAACAATTAAACTCACTTATTAATTAAACCTTAAATCAACGCCGCCACTGCGCAGGTGTAAAATTACCATGTATCTTGATTTTGGTGGATATCCAATTTCATTTGCGATAGTTATTGGCTAATTACTTTATTATAACACGTGACTCAACGTGAGCTTCCGACATCATCAAAATTGTAGGCAGGCGCATAGTAATGATTTGTATGATAATGATAGATATACTAATGATATTCATACCAATGATGAAATGCTAATGATATGCATACCAATGATGCGCATACCAATGATAGAATACTAATGATGTACATACCAATGATATGTAAACTAATGATATAAATACTAGTTATATGTATACTAATGATATTCATATCAATGATGAAATGCTAATGATATGCATACAAATGATGCGCATGCCAATGATGTCATGCTAATGATATGCATACTAATGATGTACATACCAATGATAATTATATCAACCAACGTCCACTGAAGAATATTGTTCGATCCTGAAAATTTAAATCAATGATTTCTCTGGTCATTAACCACTCGTGTTTAAATAACCAATGATATGTATACTAATGATGTACATACTAATGATATAAATACTAATGATTTTCATACTAACAATAGAATGATAATGGCAATATTCCAGGTTAAGAAGTAGTCCACAAGTCATGAGTAGCATTTAATAATCCGCATTATTTGGAAAATATCGGAAATATTTTAAGTGAGTATTAATAATGTGTTTAGTTATAAGTTTACAAGTGAAACATATTCCTGCAGAAGCAAGTCTAAGTAAATAGTATTTAGAAGAAATATATAAGTAATACTATACACAAGAGCATTTATATCAATATAAATACGTACATATAGACAAACATAGATTGAAATTGAGCAGGAGTTATTAGTTTAAAGATATTTATATATAACAGATACAATGTAATTATATCCATTTTATTATATCCACGGCGCTTCAAGGGAACACGTTGATATTGAAATTTATTTCCATTTATGGGTGTTTTTAGATAATATAAGTTCAAAATGTCAATAATATTTTACCACAATAACATTTTGATCTTTTTTCAACGTAGATATGCAGATGATGAAATACATGTTAAAATATATTAACATGTGCTTCTAACATTTAAATCGACTTTGAAAATATGAAAATTAAAGATTGAAGCTAAATATAATATAATGTAGACTGTAACAGTCAGACTGTATAACAGTATAATATAATGTAGACTGTATACAGTATACAGACTGTATAATTTACGCCAGCAACATATGCAGTTCAATTTGACAGGGAACCAAGTGATTTAATAACCAAGATTTGAGCATTGACTTGCGAGTTCGAGCCCTAGCTGGCTGTACAAATTCTGAGATGTCCTGTATCGACGACAAATCTCCGTAACTGACCCTACTAAAATATTATGTTATTTATAAAAGCAGAAGAAAACGAGAACATTATCAAAATTCATCATCACATTTTATGAATATATCATAATGTATGCAATTTATATCATGATTTATTTGAACATTATCATAACATATGCAAATATTGTGACATTTTCCGCAAATATTAGGAAAGTTTAATGCAAACGTTATCAAAACATATGCAAAAATCCTGAAAAGTCCTGCAAGTACTATGAAATATATGCAATTATTGTAACATTTTCTGCAAATATTATAAAAATTTAATGTAAATATCCTAAGAATTCAAGCATTAATGAGAGCCAGGGACTGCGCCAGGCTGCTAGCGTTGGTCCGGACCAGGAACATGAGCCGGAATTTGTCGTCCACGCGGACGCATTTTGTAAACTGGCGTCCATCGGCGCCCTCTAGCGGCACCACGTCGCACAACGCCTCGTCGCCGCAGCAGAAACTAGTCCCCTTCCCCATGTGGGTGTTCCCTTCCCCTGAGGTTGTTCCCTTCCCCATTATATTGTCCCCACAAGGTGATAATAATGTCTTCAGAGCAGTTGCTCGCTGTTCGTCCAGCCATTTTTGTAGGAGGTTTAAATCGGATGAGAAATTGTCGGTTCGGTCGATAGATGGCGCGCAGAATACGTACGCTTCCAGCAGACATTGTGCCTGTGTATTTGTTGATATTATTGGGAATATCATAAACATAGACAAATAGACATGGACATAATTTAATAATAAGCTATATCATGCAAACTATTCCCTTTCCCCACTCCCCTCGAAAAAATATATAAAAGAAATAAGAATAATAAAAAGTACGGACGATCAGGAACTTAAATTTGAAAAATAACGTGGAATTAACGTTGTTTTTACGTCAGTTGCCTGCGTAATGAATTTATCGTTTACATGATAACAAATTACCGATGTTTTTTTCTATACTTATAAAACTTTCTCCCGCGACTGTATCTTGGTTGAAACAAGTTTTTCATGCACATAAAACAGCAGTGTAGAATATATAACTATAATATATATAAGGAACATGATATATATATATAAGATATATAATTGATATAAGATAGGATAAGAGGATTAATAGGATTAATATAAGAATTAATATATTAATCAATATATATGTAAGATATATAATAATATTCTAATACTTATAATATATATAAGAATGAGAATATATATTATATATATATAATTATATATACATAACTTAAGGTCGGGACTGTACCTTGGTGAGAGATCCTGATCGCTCCTGACGCAGCACGGCGATGGCGGCCCCCAGTGCGGGGGGCTTGAGTGCATCAGGTGACTCACCTGCTGCAGGTGACTCACCTGCAGCTGCTTGAAGGCAACCACCAGCTGCAGCAGTAACATGGCTGCGGTGTGGTTGGCGGTGTCACGAGTGTTGTGGTTGAGAACCTTGGTGCGGTATTCGTGCAGGTGGTAGAGCTCAACCCTGGGCAGCACCCACACTGTGCCTGATAATAATGAATAATTACGAATTGGCAACGTAGCACCGACAACGTACCTGATAATAATGCATAATTACGAATTGGAAACCCCAGCACCCAGACCGTGCCTGATAATAATGCATAATTAAGCATTGGCAAACCCTGGACCCACATCGCGGCTGGTAATAATGAATAATTACGAAGTGGCAACCCCAGCACCCACTACGTGCCTGATAATAATGGATAATTACGAATTGGCAACCCAGCCTCTAGACCGGGCCTGGTAATGCTGGATAATTACGAATTGATAACCCCAGCACCCACAACATGCCTGATAATAATGGATAATTACGAATTGGCAACTCTAGCACCAACACCGTGCCTGATAATAATGGATAATTACGAATTGGCAACCCCAGCACCCACGCCGTGCTTGATAATGAAGGATAATTACGAATTGGCAACCCTAGCACCCACACCGTGCCTGATAATAATGGATAATTACAAAGTGGTAACCCCAGCACCCACACCGTACCTGATAATAATGCATAACTACGAATTGGCAACCCCAGCACCTGGACACTCACCTCCCACCCTGGCTTCTTTGAGGACAGTCAGAGGCCGTAAGGACAGCAGACTGTGCGCCTCAACTGAGGGCTCGGGGGAAATGAGGACAGTCACAGCGTGGCCGTGGGCTGTGCCCTCGTGGTACACCTGAGGGCACGTTAGGGGTTGGGGTCCGGATGGCTCACACAAGAGGAGGAAATATATTTCTTTTTGGGCGAAGTGTCTTCATTTTTCTCAGTGTAGCAATAGTTTGATACATTAAAGTATGACGCAAACGTGTAAAATAATTGTTTAATGTATTATGTAATCGTGCGCAAATATATACAGTAAATGTGCTCACGATCGACACGTCAACACTCACCCGATGCCCGGACCGCACTGGCGGCCGCTCGTTAAGGAGGCCGACGTGTTGCCAGCTGCGCGTTGCCTTGGCTACCGCCACGTATGATGCCGGAGGTGCAATGTTCTCGCTGCAGATCTGGAAAAAGGCGATTTTCAACTCTTTATGCGGATATTCTTTTTGTGTGTGATTGCTTAAATTGGCTTAATACAGTTTGATGATAATTTGTTGTTTCATGCATGATCATCTTCGCAACATAGGTAATGGAAACATTATCAACACGAGAACGCATGCGTCGGCATGGGCATGTTGAGACGCAACTCAGGTAGGAATAGCACTATGAATAATAGAGAATCGCGTATCGTACAGTTTAACGCACAATTCAGGTAAGAATAGCGTTACATGACGCACTTACTCGCGTCATGAGCTTTGCCAAGGCCTCGCGGTTGAGGTTGGCCAATGTGTCATAGACCAGATCAGCCGGCTGCGCGGTTGCCAGCTGCGCGGTTGACGGCTGAGCGGTTGCCAGCTGCGCGGTTGCCGGCTGCGCGGCTGCCAGCTGCGCGGTTGCCGGCTGCGCGGCTGTCAGCTGCGCGGTTGCTTGCTGTTGCTTGGCCAGCCCAACCTTTTTATAATAGCAGAAATAATTACAATTGGTTATTAAACTAAATTTCTGAACATAGAACTGATAGAGCTAGAAAAATTTCTAAAATTCTAGTACATAACCATTTTAGGGTAAAAAATTTGAAAACGTTGAAATAGAATTTGACTGACGCAAATGACCGCGAGAAAGTACCTCTGTAACGTTGATGATGAACGTGACTGATATGACAATATTTGTGAACATAAATGGTGAGTGATGCAACTGCAAAGTGCAATGGTGAAGCATGCAACTGCAATGATGTATTCTGCGGGTTAAGGTCAGGGTAAGTTAGTATGTAAGGTTCATCGGGTTAAAGTCAGGGTAAGTAGTAGGTAAGGTTCATCGGGCTGATATTAATTCAGGTATGTTAGTAGGTTAGGTTCGGCAGGTTAAAGTTAGCGTATATAAGTTGGTGAGGTTGGGCAGGTTAGGGTATGTTAAGAGGTAAGGTTCAACGGGTAAAGGTTAGTGAATCTTAGGAGTTAAGGCTTAGCAAGTTGAAATAATAGTTGTTAGGATATAGGTTCACCTCTCCACCGTGAGCGCAAGGAAAAGATGTGAAACCTTCACCCGAAATCTGCGACATTCGAAGCCTCTGGATGTTTTTGTTGTTGTCATCATGTTCTTTGTTATCTTCATGCTCTTTGTAATCTTCAGGTTCTTTGTTATCTTCAGGTTCTTTGTTATCTTCATGTTCTTGGTTGTCTTTATGTTCACAGTTATCTCCATGTTCATTGTTGAGGCTGTGTCGACGTTCGGTTTTGGTGGTGAGGTTCACCTGAGGTAGAAGGTTAGGTACGACCAACATGCGGGCGCTTCGGTGGCAGAAATTTTCGACAGCGTCGAGAATTTCAAGTTGTTTTAGTAATTTGGGCTTAACAGTACATTTTCTGGACTGGGTTTCAGCGAGTATTTTCTCCTCTTGGCGCGTGAGCACAAGTCCACATCTCTGCCCCGGCACGTTGAACAGCCGGTGGGAAGCGGGGGTGAATCTTGAAATTTCGCTGTTGGTTCTTGGACGAGATTTTGGTTCTAGCGATGCAAGCAATTCGGATGATTTTGGTTCTAGGGATCCGAACAGGTTGGGGGATTTGTGTACAACGTGAGAAGAGATTTTTGGCATAATTGGGTCGGCTCTTGATAACTGAGCGGCTTTACATTCTTTCGATAAGCTTAGGAACTGACATCTTGTTTTAGCATCCCGTGGGGTTTTGAATCTCCCTTTGATAATTCCAGTAAATCCAAGCGCTTTGTGTTGAAAATTTTTTGTGGCGAGTGGTTCATTTCCGTCTGAACTGGACGACACGGAGTCCAAAGAACTGTGCTGGGAAGATAGGGATGACCGAGACGATGAATATCCTGAAGATGAGGTTCTACTTGAAAAGGTGTGGCGACGAGTTTGGCTCGACTCCTGCCTTCCGTTCAAATTTACAAGCAAAGAAGATTCCGAGCCTGACACTGGCAGGGGTCGAGACTGAAATTTGTAGAAAGATTTTCCAGTTATTTTAATTTCTTGTAATTTGCTCTTGATGAATCGTTTCTTCTGGCTGTTTTTCTTTATCGCGGCAGCGTTTTCTAAGCCACCAGCATTATCACACACATTCGGCTCGCGAACAACATTTATACGTTCAAAGAATGAATCAATTCTTTCGTAATCGTGTTTTTTCACTTTCAAAGATGACTTTTGACTACTTTTTGTACTACGCTCCCGGCATAGGTCTAGGTTGTTACAGACCTTGCAGCATAACGTACAAGAACTCACGTCAGCGTCATTCGTAGCACATTCGGCACACACGTACGTGTGATCTGCTGACACACCAGCGCAGAGATCCCACGGATTATCATCCTCATTGCAGTGGTAATCGAAATTTTCAGCCCATGCACATGGTTCAGATTTGTGTTGTGCTTGTAATTCCAAGTTTTGGGTAACAAATTGATTGGATTTCAGGTTTCCATGTACCACCTCGGTAACTGCACCAGTCGATCCAAAGCTTTGAGATTTTCCTCCTTTTGGATCGACCTCCTTTCCGCGGGTCTCGAAGATATATTTCTGTTCACATTCTGAGGAACCATTCACGCTCAATAGACCTTGATTGAAAGTTAAAGCGTCATTTGAAGCTGTAATGGCACTTTTGCTAGAAATTTCTTTGGTTAGAGGGCCTGCGACGCCAAACTCTAAGTTGTCGCCGATTAGGTTAGGCTGTTCGTCCTCTTCTTGGCCCCAGCCTTGTCGTGCCGCTTCCTCTAACCACTAATGGAGAACATACCAATGACATTAGTGAAATGGAGAACAGACAAATAAATGGTTCAGTTATGGAGTCCATACCAATGGCTTTAGTGAAATGAAGCTTTGTTAGAGAACAAGTGGGAGCTTACTAGAGAATTCGACGGCCCAGCATTTATTAGAGAACTTGAGGGTGATTTTCAGAGAACATGGAGGCACTTCACCAGTAAAAATGAATTTAAATTTATTAAAAAGAAACTTGAGACAGATGAGACCCTTTCCAACCAAAGTAATGAATGCTGGATTCATGAATGAGTGTTTCAAGAACATAAATGTTTCACATGAAGGTGTGAATGAGCCCTCACCATACAGAGAAAAAAGATATATATATTTAGAAAACATACATCTCGCAATATATAACATCGCTATAAGATCTAGGCACGCAGGTTAATTATCAGTCCCTCTTACCTGATCTAGAATGCATGGAATGATTTCATAATGATGATGCATCGTTGGTGACTCAGGCTTGATCAGAGATGGGTCACTAGAATGATGGTTCTTGATCAAAGATGGGTCACTACCATGATGGTTCTTGACCAAAGATGGGTCACTACCATGATGGGTCTTGACCAAAGATGAGTCACTACCATGATGGGTCTTGACCAAAGATGAGTCACTACCATGATGGGCCTTGACCAAAGATGAGTCACTACCATGATGGGCCTTGACCAAAGATGAGTCAGTACCATGAGCACCGTGTGTCACCAATACCCCCAGGTTACCATCATGGATACCAGTATCAGTTGGGGGGCCGTGGCCCCCCTGGTCAGTATCAGGGATACCGAGGGAGGCCCTTGCATTCAACCGGGATATGCAGGATGACTGAAGGAAAAATTCGGGGTTGAAAATAGGTTTAAACGCACAAAAAATATATATAATTATACAGTAGTGAATTTTAAAGAATAAAATGAAAATAAGACAATAATGAATTAAATCGTGAAGAATAATATGAAATTAGAAAATAATGAATTAAATCGTGAAGAATAATGTGAAATTTCGAAAATAGTGAATTAATTAGTGAAACAGGAGTTTATGTTATCTGTAGGTATGATCAGGCATGACGACAAAAGCATTAGGCCATGAAATTGTATATAATTTATAAAGCAGTAAAATTTAGGTTATTGTGAAGAATTTTGTAACAAGTTTCAAAAGGGGGCGAGGGGGGCTCACCTTGGACAGGGGGGGCCGAGGGGGCGCCGCCCTTTGCTTGGCCTCCTCATCGTTGGCCCCTGAGGCCCTGCCGGGCTTGAGGGGGGTGAAGGGGGCGCGTACATCCCCTGGGGGGGGATATCAGACATATATATTATCATAACAGATATAATTATAATATATAATACGGTAATATAACATAGTAATAATAAGAGGTAATTTGGCAATGTAACGGCTACATGAAGTTGGTTTTGATACCCACGTCCATGCTGATGCAGCACCTTTGACGCCTACGTTGCCCCGCCCACCAGCGACACAGAAAACTAAACTGGGCTTCCCGAAGCTCGAACCCACAACTAACTCCTGCCGTCTCGATCCACGCCATATCTTTTACCCAAGCATATTTACAGAGGGTTTAGAGTTTAAAGTGAACCTTTAAACTCTAGAAGAGTAAACCTTTTTAACCCTTCAATAGGGATAGGGTATATAATAGGGTTTTCATAGGGGGTTTCAATAGTTTTTTTTTACATTTTTAAACCTTTTTTTAACTCGGTCCTTCGTCTAAGGTTTAAGCATAGGGCTAAAGAATAAAAATTATTTTTAAAGAACAAACCGAATACGATTAAATATACCCATAACATTCAGTAGTGGAAGCTATGCACTAACCTAGGTTGGCGTATGTAGAATCCCTGATAGGCAGAGGTGGGGCCATGGTGGGCCCGGGTCCCCCAGCCGCGGACCTCACTGGGACCACTGGCTCCTGCCGGGCTTGAGGGGGGTGAAGGGGGCGCGTACATCCCCTGGGGGATATCAGACATATATATTATTATAACAGATATAATTATTATATTAAAAATGGTAATGTAAGGTAGTATTAATAACAGGTAATGCGGTAATTTAACGGTTGCATGAAGTTGGTTTTGATTCCCCACGTCCATGCTGATGCACCACCTTTGACGCCTATCATGCCCCGCCCACCAACGACACCGAGAAATGAACTGAGCTTCCCGAAGCTCGAAACCACGACTAACTCCTGCCATCTCGATCCATGCCAAATCTTTTACCCAAGCATATTTACAGGGGGTTTAGAGTTTAAACGTGTTTCTTAAGAAGAGTGCATGAACCTTTTTAACCTTTCAATTGGGATAGGGGATATAATAGGGTTTTCATAGGGTTTCAAAAGGTTTTTTTTTAACCTTTCTTAACCTTTTTAGCGCATTTTCTCAGTTATGGAAAGAATGCACTATTGTGCTCGCCATGTCCGTCTGTCTGTCCGTCCGTCTGTCCGTCCGTCAGTGACCTCAAGTTTTTTGTCGACGAGAAAATGCGCTCTCTGTCACTCACTTCAGTGAGTACTGAGTTATATTTTTTTTAACTCGGTCTTTCATCAGAGTTTTAGCAGAGGGCTAAAGAATGAAAATTGTTTTTAAAGAGCAGACCGAATATGATTAAATCTACCGAAAAATTCTGTAATGGAAGGTATGTACTATTTTTTAACCTTTTAAAACATTTTTTCACTCGGTCTTTCATCTGTCAATTGAACGGAGGGATAAGAAATGAAAATTGTTTTCAAAGAGCAGGCCGAATATGATTAAATCTACCGATAACATTCGGTAGTGGAAGCTATGTACTAACCTAGGTTGGCGTAGGTAGAATCCCTGATAGGCAGAGGTGGGGCCATGGTGGGCCCGGGTCCCCCAGCCGCGGACCTCACTGGGACCACTGGCGCCTTGTGGCGGATGGGGGACATGCCTGGGGCACTGGCCCCACCCACGATGGGTGAACGCATGTAGGTCTTGGCGGTGGGGGAAGAAATTCCCCCTGGATTTTCAGCGGGACGAAGGCCATTTTTGGTTTTTGAGTTTTGGGTTTCCGGTAGGTTGCCGGTGTTGCAGTTTGTTGTTTTTCCAACTTTTGCTGGTTTATTTGATGGTTGCGTTGGTTGTGTTGCCTGGTTTTTAGGTTTCGTGTTGGGGATTGGGGGAGGTTTCGGTTTCTCGAACCCTGTGACCCCCAAAGGGGGGATTTTGGTTTCTTTGGGGTCATTGGGTATATGGTTCCTACAATTTAGAGACTTGATTTTCTCTTCAATTTCTTTGTACAGCTGGTCCCTACTGGGGACCTGGCCCGTGCTGGGGACCTGGCCCGTGCTGGGGACCTGGCCCGTGCTGGGGACCTGGCCCGCGCTGGGGACCTGGCCCGTGCTGGGGACCTGGCCCGTGCTGGGGACCTGGCCCGTGCTGGGGACCTGGCCCGTGCTGGGGACCTGGCCCGTGCTGGGGACCTGACCCGTGCTAGGGACCATATATATCGCGCCTTCAACGCCGGACTGCCGTTGTTCAAGAGAAGTTTTCCGGGGCGGCGGTGGAGGCTTGGGCCGACCTGATAACAAAAATTATAATTCAGCTTTACAACTTAATATCAACATCAACAATGACATTTCATCATTATCACAACTTCTCAACAGCATTGAAATAATTTTCTCATTATTATCACAACTTTTCAACAGCATTGAAATAACCTTTCCATTATTATCACAACTTTTCAACAGCATTGAAATAACCTTCTCATTATTATCACAAGTTCTCTTAAGCAGTAAAAAAAACTTCATGATAAATGGAGTCCCAAATAATGAATCTAGACCGGAGGTTCCCAAACTAGGGTAAAATTTTCCTACTTAGGGTAATTAATTTATTTTTCATAATTTACTTGATTAATAAAATATTTAAATAATTGAACTTTCTTCAATCATTAATTTTTAATATTTTGATGTTATTTTATTTCTACGCTGTTTATTTTAACCAAACACTTTTTCTCTAAAATTTTTGAGTAAAATTTTGTTAAATCTACTTTTTTGAAACCTAATTGAATTAAATTTAAAAATTAATTGTATATGTAAAATTAAGTGCTGAATTTTCTAAAATTAGTTGTAAAAATTGTCAAATTAATTGTAAAAGTTTGAAAGACAAATTTAGTTAATTAACAACAGCAACAGTCACTCACTCTACTGACGAAGGAGTTGTTCTTCCTCAGAGTGACGATCGTTGCAACCGGGGACGGGGTTGATGCGTTGCCTGGTAGACTTGGTTGATTTGACTTCATCACGCTAGGGGACATCACAGTAGGTGAAATTACGCTGGGGGAAATCACGCTAGGGGAAAGAATTGTAGAGAACTGAGAACTTTCTAGGTGAGTGGAATCTGTGTGTTGCAGGGTGCCTAGTGTCGGGTCTTGGTGGGGTTGCCAACTAGGGTTTTTCTCATTCGCAATAGCGTGTGTGTGTTGCAGGGACGTTAGTGTTCCTCCAACTGAGTCTTGGTGGGGTTGCCAACTAGGGTTTTTCTCAGGCGCAACAGAGCTTGTGTGTTGCAGGGACAATCCGGTGCCTAGTGCTATGTCTTGGTGGAGTTTCCAACTAGTGTTTTTCTCCGATATTTCAGAGTTTGCAAGTTGCAAAGACCTTCTTTCTTGTTGTTGTTGCTTCATCTTTTCCTGCTCTAGGTGCAGTTGTTGCGATTTTCTATAGATAAGTTCTGCATTTTTCAACATTCTGTCTTGCTCTTGTTTATTCAAACTTGCTTCATTACCATTACGAACCTTAGAGGGATCAAGCGTACCAGCTGGTTGTGCCACTTCTGACTCACTTTCAGGATAAAGCTTATTCGTGGAAGGCACGTTATAATGTTCATTTGATGACTCATTTTTGTTTTGATCTTGTAGCCCGTTTTCGGTTTTATTCTCTGACGTGTCCCGGTTTTCTAGCTTTTCTGGGGTGAAGCCGTACTTGCTTGAATAGTTGTAAACCGGAGACGTTGGTTCTGGTCGAGCTATGACCTGTCCAACAATTATAGTATGAGTATTATACGTTCCATAATTTATTATGCTACTGCAGCATATTATAGTTTAGGTATAATATTATAACACTGTGATTAGAGTCGAAGATTAGGCCATATATGGCCTGTTGCCGTTTCTAGATATTTCAAATTTTTCGCAGCTAGGACTCGAACCCAGTACTCACTGCTGTAATCTTGGTACCTCAGTGCAGGTTTGGTAGACGAGGTGGTGGTGGTATTAACCTCGATGCCGAATTGATGGAAGGCGAAGGAGTTGTTGTACGTACCTCTACGCCGGTTTGGTGGTTGTCGAAAGCTGTATGGTTAGAAAGATACGTACCTCTACGCCGGTTTGGTGCTTATCGAACGGTGAATGGTCTAGAAAGATACGTACCTCTACGTCGGTTCGGTGGTAGCCGAAGGCTGTATGGTCTAGAAAGATACGTACCTCGACGCCGGCTTGGTGATAGTCCAGAGGGTGGATGATGTTCAGCTTGGACTTTTTCGCCTCCCTCTCCGCCTGCCTGAGAGTTTCTTTGAATAATTTCCTGTCTTCCTCTTTGGAAGCCGCGGCGGTGCTGGTGCTGCCTATCCGCAAGAACTTCTTCAGGGAGAACTTGGTGGATTTTTTGGTCCTGTCGCGACCTCGGCCGGTGGGGTTGGTTGAGGTGGGTGGAGGATTTGGTGAGGTTGGACGGAAGAAACCTGAAAAGTGTAATTATTGAAGAAAATAATCTTAACAGTTTTTTTCTAAATTGAGCTATTGTGGTTTGCAAGGGTAATTCGTCCTTCGTTCTGCGCTGGGAACACTTTTTATTTGCTGAAGATAAAACATGCACAACCAATACACAGAAACTGATAAAAATAAAAATAAAAAATATACAAAATTTTAGTCACTACAAATAATTTAAATTTAGGCGTTAAATTGGATGCTTGTAATATTTTGATCGTTTCAATAACAACCCCAGATACAATGTAAACCATACTGGTCAACCGTGAATTTTTAACTTTGGGTACAACTCACTGGCTTTAACAAAAGCAAACTTGGATGTCTTGCTGGGGGTTGGGGAGGTGGCAAGTGGGGGCTTGGCAATGGCGTGGTCTGAATCCCGGGGGCAAGACCTAGACCGTCCCTTGTATTTCTTAGAACTGGTGAGTGTGTAGAAGGGGGAAGAGGTGCTCTTCACAAGGTGCTGGAGCAGTGCTGTGAACAAATACAACAGTACAACAGTGCAAATAGACTTATTGGTGAGTAAGAGAACGCCGCAAAGAAATCTCTCACCCAAACCAACAAATTGTTCATGGGTGACATGGTGTGAACCCTCAAACAAACAGTGCATTTACTGGCAGTGTGCATGGAAATTGGGCAAATTTGATGGAAGTGCACATTAAAACAATAGACATTTACTGGCAGTGCACATCAAATATACTGGCACAGCATATCAACACGGTGCAAGTTTCTGGTAGTGCAGATCAAAAAAGTGCAAATAAATAGTTTAAATTTATGTAAGTCGACAACTGTAAGCAAGCAAACCCATTCATCGTGAATGGTGCACTGCAACGTCAGGCCAATATATTGTACATGGGTTTGCAAGTGAATGTAGCCTTCATTTCCGTAACAATATAGGTTGCTGTGGTCTGTAAATATGAGTAAAAACGAACATCAGCCATGCTCCATTAAAACAACAGCCATGCTTGTATTAACATGGACTTTAAAAAAACGGCATGGCCCACTTTTACTTATAGCATGATTACACTCTATTAATTAAGAAACCCCAATTATTCCCACAATTACTCATAACTGGGTCTAATGAGTGAGAGGACACACTGCATGCACTCATAAGCGAGTCAAATTATAAAGTCGTTGATGAGTGAGAAGAAACACTGCGTGCACTCATAAGTGAGTCTAATTCTAGAGTCATTGATGAGTGAGAAGAAACACTGCATGCACTCATAAGTGAGTCTAATTCTAGAGTCGTTGATGAGTGAGAAGACACACTGACGTACCTGACGCATCGTAGTTGGTGGGTCCCACAGAGTTCCTGAAGAGGGGTGTCGCAGATGAAGACCTCTCACTAACCCTTCTCAGTCCAGGAGCGTCATCCACTCTTTGAACGACCTCCTCAGTGGGCTTTCCTTCTTCATCATCTTCGTCATCATCGTCGAAATCGTCAGTAAAGGACGAACAATCGTCCATGTCGTTACGAGCATCGAGATGATGAGGCAGGGCAGGGATCGGAAGCAGATTCTGGTGTTGTGTCGAAGAAGGGGCGATTCCGGGCTGAGATTTGGGATCAAGAAATTTTGTATATTCAGATGAAGTAGCAGTATTCGTTTTCACCTGGCCAACGAAGTTGGTATAGTCGATAGCGGAATCAATATTTGTGTTGACCACCATAGATGGTACGGTCGAGTTGATATTTTCCGCACTGTCAACCAGAGGAGGTCGTTGGAATTTTGATGAATGAATCGCGGCCACATTAGATTTTAAATTTTGCGATTGGAGAGAACGTTTCGTTTCAAATGAAAGCTCAGAGTTTTCTATCGCTTGTGAATTAGTAATGTTGTCTTTAGAGTCGTTGTGCTCGGTTCTAGGTGATTCAAATCTGTGGTCATTGAGGTCAATATCGTAATATATACCTCCACTATCCGCCGAACTGGTAACGAGTTCTGTCAAAATTGGACTAGTGCAATAATGTAAAGATTCACCAGCTGATACTCCACTTTTCGAGGCTACCGTGATAGGCAAATCGTACACGACTTCAGTTCTAGGTGACGATCCATGTTGTTGGTTCTCCGTTGATGTAGGTGCGCTCATACTGGCGAAAGTGGAGGACAAGTTTCTGGCTACGTTGCTGGAAGAAACGGATGTAGGGAAATCGTTGGAAGCTTGGCGAGATGTTACTGGAGGCTTAGGGGTTTGGATGGGCTTGGATGCACCTGAAAGACTCTTGAGGCCGGAAGTGGAGGCATAGGCGCTCGTTTTCTGAATGCTGGCAGTGGGTTTGAATTTTCCAGGTTCAACAGGAGCTCTAATGTCATCGAAGAAATCCTTGGCTGTTTTGATTTCACTGCCGCTCTCACAACTAAGCGACCTTTCGAAGGCAGGACGAGTCAATTCTACGGTGGTAGAGGACTGATGTTGGGGAAGTACTTGATCTGAATTCGATGCCACGAAGCTCGTCATGAGACTGGAGGAACTACCTCTGTGACTAGCTACCACCCCACTGCTTCTACTCTCTTGGGTACCGGTAGAATGGGCCGATTTAATATCATCATTCTCAGTACTGTTACTGGCGCAGTCGTGCCAGTGTTCTACATCTAAGGTGTCGTCGACAGAACCCATCAAAGTTTCAGTGGCAGGTGTCTGGTTAGCCACATTAACTTCATTCGAGGCTAGGTGGTCTGTCTCTAACAACTTGGTTGATCTGTTTTCTTCGGGTTTAATGGGTTTACTAGAACCAGGGCTGTTATCAACTGCTCCTTCCAATTTTTCATCCTCTGAGTTTTCATTTTGGTGATGCGTAAGCCCCAGCTGACTGGCCATGAAGCTGCTTCGTTTCCTTGATGCTCTGGAAGCTTCGGGGGATTTGGTCCAGGCTGGGCATTGAACTGCATTAGTTGATCTATTAGTATATTGAATACCAAGTCTCGGCGTAGAACTATTTCTATTATTGACGATGCCTGCAGAAGTAGGACTGGCCGCTGCAGTTGTTGTTTCTGTTGCTATACTTTCGGCTTCGAGGGCTTTCTTCGGCGTATTTGCGAATTCAGTGGAACCATTCGAAGACGGTGGCTTGTAAGAGAATGCTTTCTTCATTCTCGGTGAATTCTTTGGGCTCATTTTTGACAGTAAAGGCGTGGTTCTATTTGTCAATGTTTTGTCGTCCTTTAGGGTCTCCGACAGGGTGGCGTTTCTGATTTCCACGTTATTTTTCTTCTGTTTATCTGTTGTTGCGAGTAAATTCACACTCGTGTCATCGGGGACGGTTCTGGTTTCACTTATGACCTCGGAATCTGGTTTCTTTTTCTTCTTTTGTCTCTCAGGTTTCACAACAGTTATTTCGTCTGGGAGCTTCGTACATTGTTTTGTTTCAGGAATAGCGGAACTCTTTGCTTTCGGTTCTAAGGGTCTAGCAGGAATTGATTGTACTGACGTTTTTTCAACGGCAAAGCTTCCAAATGATGTATTTTTTTCAATATTCGGCTGAGGTGATTCATCGATGGCGGTTACTTTCTTCAATAAAACCTCATCTCCAAAATAGGTCAACTTGCTCATTTTCTCTACCATGGGTTCGTTTCCGAATGAAGTGACTTTTGTATTCTCACTGTGTATGGTGAAACCATCGTCGTTCTGCGATTGCTTTTCCACTATCTCTTCTTCCTTGCTCACGTACTTCGGTTTTATTCCCTGCAAAGGTACGGTCTCTGTTTCTGATGCGTTTCCGTCGCTTCTTGTACGCACCAATTCACCGTTCTTCATCGGTAGAACAGGGTTAACCTTTGGATAATCCGCACTGACACTTGAACCTCGCGACAAGAATGGCTTGACACTAACCAACGGCGTGGCCCTCTTTAATTTAACCTTACAATCACTCTTATCTACATTTTGAAACGCAGCATCGAGAGCTGAATTGTGCGGAGACTTGCAACTATCATACGTACGTTGAATATCTTCGTAGATGTCGTAAGACTCGTTCGCCTGCTCGAAACTTTTGATCAACTCGCGATGTTTGTCATCCAAAACAATGTCTCCCAAGGAGTTGAAGTTTTCGGATTCAGCGTTGAAGTCGGTGTTTTGTGCCGTCAATCTTTTCAGCAACTTTTCCCTCGTGGTCATCTCGTAGGATGCCAGGGAGTCGACGTCGTCTTCTCCATCATCTTCCTCGTCGCCGGAATAATCGACGTCACCTCCGTAACCAATGATCTCTTCTTCACTTCTAAACGAAATACTTTTTGCAATTCCAGATTTTCCAGAACACAGCGAGCTTTTTAACATACGACGGCTATTATGTGTTGACGTATCAAAGTTCTCGGTGACATTCAGTTCTCTTGAGAATCTATTTACACAGCCTCTTTCAACAGAAATTATTTCACAATTTCCAGGAGTGGGTGAATTGTCACTTTCCTCGTCTTCAGATAATTTCGGATCAAAATTCTCGGGATGAAGTTTTACGTGCTTCAGGGCTACACCGGCGTCGTTATCATCATGTGGTTCCCCAACATCAAAACTATACGAGCCCCTACCCTGATCTTCGCTGTCTGTAGAGCGGCCATCAGAGGACGTTTCTGACGTCACTGACTCGGAGGTAAGTGACTGGTTAGTTGACGCTAAGTGCTCATTGGAAGATGTCCGACTAATTTCATAGATTCCAGGAGATTCTGATTCAGAATCAGAATCGGTCGATGAATCATTTCGATTGTCCCCACAAAGATTTCGCAAATCTAGCGTTTTTGTGTCGTTTTTGATAGCCACGGGTGGCGCGGAATCCGGTTTGTTGGAAGTACGTGCATAATTTTTGTAATGGCTGTTCGGACTTTCCGTGTCTGGACACCCAAGAACGTTATCCGCGCTTCTGGATCTGATTGGTTGGCTAAGGTTTTCCACATCTGTGGATTTTACCTGCCTACAATCGAGACCGTTCATGCTTTCGAAACGGTGACTCAATGCAGAAGATATCGGAACGCGGTCCTCTCCACGCGGATCTCTAATATGCAAATCAGCAACTCTGTCGTGTCTCAAATACCTACTAGGCGATCTAGGTTCGTAGGATAGGTGCAAATTCTTGGTATTCTCATCATGAACCGAATGCAGAACACCAGTTACCGGGTTCGATAATTTTGCTTCGGGACTGTTGGTGGAGCTTGACAATGATGAAGAACTAGAATTGGACCCAATCCTCACCCTTGACGGGTCTCGGTGGAGTAGTGCAGAAGAGTCTGTGGTTAGATTGGTTGTTGAGAGTCCTTTAATGAGTCCAGGAGACCTCAATCCAGTAGAACTCTTGGTGGAGTCACTTCGGAATATCAAACTAGGTGATTTTAAGCCTGAAGCTTCACTCGCGTCCCCATGAGGCATCTTCCAGCCATAGTAATTCCTTGGATATCCTATTCTGTTGTTGTTTACTACTCCAACGTACCGGGATTGTGGGGTATGACCTCTACCACTGGTTATACTACCCATTTCACCACCATCCATGTTATCAACTCCGTATTTAGTCCCATTTGTTGCTGTATTCTCATAGTTTCTTGTTTTATAACAGTCCCCGATAGATCGTTCGCCCGCCCTGTTGTTGCTGCTGGTGTTTATGATCGAGCTTGTAATTGGATGCTTCCGACGACCGTTACCGACATGGGATGTGCTTTCACTGCTGCTACTTTCGTACCCTCCTGAGGAGAGGGGGGTACTGATCCCCCTGCCGTGTTCGTCTTTAGTTTTGAAACAATTCGAACACAGGTCTTTCTTCCAGGCATTCTGAACGAAGCTTTGGCAGATTGGAGGCATTATGACTGAATAATTATAGCACAGAACGGAAGTTAAAAATTGTTTGAACTACTAGAGATGTTTGTAACCGTAGGAATGGGTGGAATTTCAGCTTAAAAATATTGATAGGTTGAGGGGAGTAGACTAGGGTCATTGGGTAGATAAGTCACAGATTTGAATTGATAGTTTCAATTGCCTTTGATTCATGACTGTGCATTGCAACAATTATTCGAACTTCTGAGATAATTTCGTCCGCATTTTTTTCTTTTGAGAATAAAACTTCTATTCATTTTCTATTTTGTATTAACTATAACTAATCTGTAAGGAAAGAGAGAAAATAAGTCATTATTCGACCAGCTCAATTAATCCAACCCCTGCTTAATGAATACAACCTCTGTTCAGTAGACACAACCTCTGCACAGAATACTTTAAACGCAGAATACTTTACACACAGAATACTTTACACACAGAAAACTTTACACGCAGGATACTTTACACGCAGAATACTTTACACTCAGAATACTTGCCTTTCAGAATACTTTGCACGCAGAATACTTTACACTCAGAATACTTTACACTCAGAATACTTTACACTCAGAATACTTTACACTCAGAATACTTTACACGCAGAATACTTTACACTCAG